ATTTCATGTTACCATTAATGAGGCGTAACATCATTATGTTGCATTAAACGATATTGCTTGCATTCGTTCGCCATTTCAGGCAAGCCAATAATACTATTTCAACGCAAAAAATCATGAGCACAAACTGAAATAATCAAAATTAACGTGATTTTGGCTTAATGTTGGCACGATGAGTCGTCCAATCCCCAATTTTCTCTCAACATCCATATCAATTTTGTACCTTTAGTTAAGCAAGACTCTTCTCTTCATTCACACATTTTTTGAATGCCTCATAGTGTCATAAAAGACTGATCCTATTTTTGAAATAGAAAATTTTCTAACAAGAATGTTTTCAAAATGAATCCGTGAATGCCACAGAAAAATACTCAAACCTAGATTCTTAAGGCTGAAAATGTAGAATCGCATAGTCTCACAATCATATTAATCTCTAAACTGGACAAGTCGATCCTGGATCTTACAATTGCAAAATCCAAACCCCATGATCTCAAAAATCGATCTATCTCATAAATCAAATAGAGGTCAGATGTAGATCAACTTCGCCCATGCTTATTCTTTCGTTCGACGCTCAACGTGTGCATAAATCAATTTAAGTTGTCATATAAGCTCATGTTCGGCAATTAAATGAATGAATGAAATCTCAAATCTGATTCATTTGAATTTATTCGATTCCAGATGATTTTGAGGCAATCCATGCAAAGATTCTAATCCGAAATAATCGTACAACGCAATCGTTATACCTGTCATAATAATATCAAATAATAACCAACAACAACTCGTACCCGTGAATAATCCATGAATATGTTGCTGAATGCGTTGATATCCACCGGTATAATATTGAATCTCATCTCTGAAATCGATTGTGGATGCTATCAGAAGAGGTTATGTTGCCCAGGAAGGAATCTCACTTGTGTGGGTTTCGAAGATGGCATTGAGCACTTGCCCATCTACCGTACACATCTCCAGAATCCAGCCCAATCCCCCACCTCAACTTCAAGCACCTCAACATCCACATCAACGTCTACAACGGACCCACCCACCGTTCACTTCGTTTATGATAGTCTAAATGTTGAAACTAGATATCCAGATACTCTTATCGAACAACCCGAAGGAAGTGGCAATGATTACTATGCGAAATACGGTGAGATTCTCATTAAGAATCAAATTCTGCATGAATTCTGCAAAAAAAACAAAACAAGAAACTCAATTCTGTGGGCAAATTTTACGAAACGTTGTGTTAGAAAATGATTCTTTTCAAGAGGTTCTGTGTGAAATGCGATTAGTTTGCCATGTGAAAATCTGCTTTGGATAAAACCAGCGAAAAGCGCACTCTCATGCCTGCGTCATTCGCCTTTTCTGCTCTTTTCATGCGGACTCTCTGTCATTTCGTTTCATTGCGTATTAACTGCTCCAAAAACGATACGCAAATGATAAGTGATTGAATGAATCTTAACTAAACAAACGAATAATCCTATTCAATCGAAACAAGAACAAGGTTAAAGGTGAACAAATCCCTATTGATGAAATGCCGTTCGAACCAACCGAATTCACAATCCCTTTCCAACGCTACGGCACCACACTGGCGCCGTCATTCAAGAAGATCGTCTTCGGAGAGCCGTTCTTTGCCAGTGAGCATCCACCTGAAATAATGCGGTACCGTGGTCGTCATTTACTCTTACGGTTTGCTGTTTGCTGTGCTAATAACCATCTTCAAATGATCGAAACGCTCGTTTTTGATGCACATTCTCTTGATACCTCCATATGGAACTGATTCTCTTGATACGTTTAAAAAGCCAAAAGTTTCGCTACCATTCAAAGTATTTTTGAGAGGTAACCATGAATAAAATATAAATATGGTATAAATTACTCTTCTTGATGAAAATTCCTCACTGCTAAGATATGGATTCACTTCTTTGCTATACGTCCATAACACAGATGAATCGTCAGACCAGAGGTCCTCATAGGAGTGGAATTGCTCATTTTTGGGTAATTTGGGGGTGTCAGAGAGGTGATGGAGGGGGTCGGCGAATTAGTTTATGGAACTAGTGAATTATTGTAGCGGGAGAAGTTAATAGTAGGCTACTCGACCATCGAAAAGGGTAATGAAGCACCCGGGCGTTGGGACTACTGCGTTAAACTTTCCAAGACGATATTGATCACCTAGATTCAACTCTTAAAGTGTAGAGATAATTTCGAGATTGTTCTCTTCTCGAAACCGCATATATGAAACATTCATTGTTCTAATCTCACCATATAAACAGGTATAATTTTTGTGCATGTGTGTGTGTGTAAATATTACCAAGTGATATAATAATAATGGTAACAATCAACATAACAATACC